AGCGACAAGTTTCCGGCGTGCTGGCCGGCGATAAAAGTTTCCGTAATTCCATGCAATTACGCGGTCACTAATTCGAATGGAGGATTAGCGGGAGCGCGGCGACGGCGCGGCGCGGTAACGTTTCCAGGACGATGAAATTTTAAACGCGAGGGTGGGTCGTTCCCGTAATGGGATAACGGGAATCGATGGGAGGATAAAGACGTGGCCTACCCCCGCCGCAGGAACATCAACCCTCGCACGCCCTCGTCAAAGCCAATCGAGCACGAACAGCCACCACCCCTAATCGCGGAGCCCCATTGGCCCGGAGTTACCCCAATTCTATTACACCTTCTGTCATGGCCATTTATAGCGTTTAATCGACCAGACCGAATCGTAATATGGCGGCGATAAACCGGCCGATGCACATGCCATCTCACCCCCGCGCGCGCGCGGGTGCTTTTATCGTTAAATAGAAAAACCCGGTGTGTTCGTGCGACTCGAACGGGGGATAACTGCGGACGCACGAATGCGCTCAATGTCTTAAATTGTATGCTCTACGAGGCTCGATCGTCGATCGTTTCTTCAGGAGAGAAAGTGACAATCGTTAGGGACGAATATTTTTAACCGAACGCGCGTCATAAATTAATAAATTGAGTAACGAACCCTAAAGGAATAAATTCAGTCGAGATTGACTTTCGGTCAAAGGTTCGGTTTGATTTTCATCGCCGTCGTTTTTTAATTGTTAGATAAGTAGTAAATGACCAGATTAAATAACCAGTACTAGATAACTAGTAATAAGATAACTTGTTTACTTTGAATATCATGAAGCGAACCTTGACTCCACGGTCGAACCAAATTTTTTCACCTGATGCGGATACGTTCAAACTAAAATGTCGCTTTGCTTTCGAAACGGCCCACGTCGTAAAATTCCCGTCCGAAATTAATCTCACTTGGAGATCGCGGAGAGCTTCGAAACGAATCGTGTGGCGACTTCCATCGCGAATATAAACCGCGAATGAATGAGGTCTCGAATTGCCGAGAGAGCAGTGTCCTCGGTGGAAATAAGAATCTGATCGCGGATAACCGCGCGGCTTCGGTAAGGAAAAATATTGCGTTTATCGACTCTGATAATAATAATTACTATACTCGCGCACTCGCGGGCTAGTTTAAAACATTTTCTTACTCGCCGCACCGCGGTGTTATTATTAAGCCGACCAACCACTACTTCGGTGTGCCCGCTTATCTTTCGTTCGGCCGCTTATCCGACACACGTGTGCGCGCGAGCGTGGGTAATTATTTAGGCTCATTCTGAAATATTTGCCTACAGAGCACCCGGGCATGCTAATAATACCAGCGCAGACATTAATATAGCGATAACTGTATACGATTTCGCACTGCTTTCCACAAACTATATGTCCGCGTCTCGTCAAACATGTACGAATGTGTACGAATGTCGCTCGCGTTAGCGTTAGAAGCGTTATCGTCCGACGTCGGATGGCAAAGTAAATAAAAAAACTTCCACAATCGCGACGCGGAAATTACTTTAATTACTTAATAAGCACCGATAAAATTCATCGGGATTAATTCGTACGTGACAAACGTATGTACCGAGATATTCCTCGAACACCGCGATAACCAGTCTCTCTCTCTCTCTCTCTCTCTCTCTTTCTCTCGGGCAATGGCGATATAGCAATTGTTTTTTGCCTTCTTTCCCTTTTCTCTGTTTCTTTTTGCTTTTGAGATACGACGAGTCCCCACGTGTTTGCAATTTCCTGAGGAGAATTAGTTAACTCGTCGGCGCACCATGACTTCATTAGATTAGCAATTCTTATTTCGTACCGCTTATCTACGCTTATCCACATCGCGGACAACATAATTCGTATTGCGTGCTCGTAAATTCGATCGTTCTGACGTACGATGCGTTGTTCGTTACAATGTATGCGAAAACGCGTTGCAAAATTAACGATTCGATAAGCCGGAGGACAAGGAGAATCGCAAAAGTGCATTTGTATTCTACGAGTTTATCTTTTTTTGCTATTTAAATAAACGCTATTTAAATAAACGCAGAACGCCGCAGTTGTGCGTGAGTGCGCTATTATAAGCTTAGTACTTCAATCAAGGATATTAAACTGAATGAAAAATATCATGTTGAAACAAAAGTTCAATTTGCTTCTTATATAAAGCATCAGTTTTATAATATTCTTAAGGAGAAAATATTTTTTTTAGGAAAAACACGATGTGTTTTTCTAAAATGTATGACGAGTATATTTTAAAAGACTATAATTCTTCGATGAGGATAATTACGTAAAAGAAGAAAGGTAAATTTAGTAATCGTTTTTTCTAATAGTAAAATATTTTTCCCTGCGTATTTTTCGTTTCCATTGATTCCCAAAAGTCCCAAGTCCATGGTCCCAATGGAACATCGCTTGCGCTCCGAGATACCTCAAGGAAACAAGCGGCCAAATCGCATTGTAAACCGGAGCGTGCACGTATATAGATAACAAAAATATTTCGCGATATTTATCGCGGAGAAAATTGCAACAACGACGACCGTTCTCCGCCAGAACGAAAAACCGCAGCTCGCGGAAACTACCGGCGAGTCGCGTATGCGCGTCCCCGTCGCGCGTCGCGTCGTCCGTAATTTGTTAATCAACGCTCTATCTTGTTAATTACCCGATAACAAGCTGATAGAGCCCGCAGTAGACTTAGGGGCGAGTGAGGAGATTCCGTTATCGCGCGCGGGCTCGTTTCGCTCTATCGGCCGGCGACTAAATGGTAATTCGCTATTTATTCGCCGCTGAGAAAGTCAAGTAATGCGCGTTATCGCAGCCGTTGGCCGGTGTTTTGCATATCAGCCGGCTGGAAACTCGGCCGATGCAACGCGCGCGTTTTTCCGCTCGCTCGCTGCGGGCTCGCGGCAAGACTTTTCTTCTATGAGCGACTGTGTCGCTGCGCACGTAACATTCGCGGACGTCCCGATGGTATCGGCACGTCGGAAGCACGTCGACTTTGTGCGGCCTGTATTTTTATTGCATCGCGCCAGAATTGACGTAATCATGCGTCCGTAAGCGCACAACGCTCGATGCACATTCTCTCTTCCCGCCCGCCTTGTGACGTTCAAATATAAATATCTCAATGGGAACGCACTTTGTCTCGCGAATTTCATCACACACAGCGCTCCTATCATTATCCTTCGTAATCTGTATTCCCCCCGCACGTTTAATGCGCTGAATAAAACGCTGAATAAAAGGTGTTTTACGTCCCTTGACGTTGCAATTAAGACTACTTACTCGTGCGACAATAAATTTTTTGTGCTTTGCACTTAGATTTAGATTACTTACGCGTTACTTACTGATCCACCGCACTCGACGAAATCTGCCTCAGAGCGTCCAATATAAATTACGCTCAAATGACATTAGTAATGAAACGTTCAAGTGAATTATAAAAGTAATTCGTCTCACAATCTCGGAATTATTCGTCCAACAACGTGACGCTTTTACGTCCAGTGCGTCCGAAATTATGCTTCAATAACATAAATAATTGAGTGTTAAGGCATGTGAATTCATACGGAATAATTTGTCTAATAATTGTGCGACGATTGCGCGTTCAATAGCGCGCATAATAAATTCTGCTCCGATAGCATTAATAACGAAACGTGGCAACGTGTATGCGGAATTGTTCATCTAACAGCGCGACGCGATTCCGTTCAACGTCCGCACGATCGCGCGCGGATCGGCCGACGCGACGGCCTCGTTGCCAAACAAACAACGACAATATACCGGTCGCATTGTGTTCCCAGGTTTTTTGCGACTCGCGAATGCGCTTGCGACGTGAGCGACGTGACGTAACAATTCGCCTCGTAGCCCGGGTCTAATTGGCGTCGTCTCAATCACGCATTTATCTACACCGTCGATACGTGTCGGCCATAACGACAGCGATACAGTTTTTACCGGATCCATGGGCGGACTAATTCCGAGTTAATCGCCGTCTTATCGCGATATACCGACTTTAAACGCGCTTTAATTAACTCTACCGGCTCTTATAAGGGCCGCCGCTTTTTGCGCAAGCCCGGACACAAAAGGCGCCTCGCGAAGAAAAAGTAAGCCCCGGGGCTTTCTCGAGCCCCGGGGAAGAATGTCGTGCGGTCGATCCGCGTCTGATCGACGAGGTGAACCGATCGTCCCCCCCAGGTCCCCGACGTCAGGATCGATCGTCTTTCTCATACTGCCTCTCTCGTGATGCGAATTTCCCTGGCCTTCTCTCGCCGCGGAATTCAAAACGGAAGCGGCATCTCGCGCACGGACACATTTCCACGAGACGATTTTCCGCTCGCGATTCGTTCGGACGAAAACCCTCGCGGTTCCCTCACTGGGTGGAAATTGTAATAAATTGCAGCCCGCTCGCCGCGCGCGGGGGTTGCAGTTACGGTTTATCCGAATTAATCGTCGGTGTTCGACGTTTGTCTCGACTCGAACCTTCGCGTCGACGGATTTCCCGACATCTACAGATTCCGACGAATCGCATTTGTATCTTGACGCGAGGCGAATATTGACGTGAATTTTTCCTTTCATCTTCCCACATTACCTTCCTCCGCAATCCGATTTGTGTGCAAATACGCGTTACACGCGAGAGACTTGCCATTCAAGCCGCCTCGATATCAATTCACCGTGGAAAGGGAAACGTCTCGATTAAGAATTCCACGACAACGTGTAATTAAGAGACCCGCGGTGCCGCATTCTTTTCTTTTTTACACGACTATAAACTACACGGATCGCGCTGTTAATTACTTTCCTGAGTTAATCAGATCAATAATTAAGTCGCCTGCCAGATAACCAGATAGTAGAATGTAATTTAACGTATCCCCGCGAACGTGTATCGTTAACCACGAGCGATTGTTCTCAGCATGTTATTTTTACTCTTTAACACGCGACACGCACTTCGTACATGCGTGGTGCATGCGTGCATCGCGAAACTCCAAGGCGGGAGGAATATCGTAAGGTTAGTAAGGTCTAAGGACTCACTTGGCGAGCGTTCGTCCTCCTGCGTCGGCATCTCCGCTTCCTCCACGTCGACGAGGCTGCGGATGCTGAAGACGCTCTTGGCCACTCTCGTCTTCTGCAGGTCGCCGACGCCCTCCGTGGCCCTCCTGGGCGTCGTGCTGAGGTCCATCGTCGGTACTCGCGTAATTTTGCCACACGACGACGACAACGACGGCCACCAGCACCACCAGCACCACCAGACAGTGTCAAACGCGGCTCGCGTTTTCTCACCGTGCGCGCCGGACGAATCGCACCGTTTCCTTCACCGTCCGCATCTTCGTCCACGTGACTCGCAGCACGACGCGAGCGAGCAAGGAAACGAGACGCGAGCTTCTCCGTTCTGTCGTCCCTCGCGACTTCTGCCCGCTGATATCCGTGCGACCCGGATTCTCCGGGTACTCCGGTAGAGCTCCCGCTACGCGAAGAGACTAGTTTGCAGTTCCGCTCGGGCGAGCTCGACGATGGGGTCGCTGACGATGTCTCAGAGTGTCCTGTGTGACCGTCGGTACTCCGAGAGTACCGTCTTTTGACCGTCGTCAGGTGTCGCGACCACCTCGTGGTTTTCGTCTTTCGGTCACTTTCAGTCACAACACGAGTCACATAAAAGTCTCTTTCAGTCCAGGTAACACTCCGTCGACGGTCCGACGCAACACCTCCTAGAATTCCACGATAAGTCGGTCTCCGATTTTTCCGTGTCCGTGCTGGCTCCGTGTCGTTCCTGGGGGCGGATGGATGCACGTGCGTATCTCGTGATGGAGAAATTTATCGCTGCGGCGCGCATAATCGCGTTTATCGAACGCGCTTTCTTCACCGTTTCGTCTCCGAGTGTCCGGCGATCGTCTTCTTCGACCTCAGCACCGATGAGTCCTCGTGAAATTCTCTCGCTTTTTGCCCCCTTCACCTCAGGATCCGATGGACTCGATCATCGCTCGCCGATGACAGTCGCTCGACAGGACTCCGCGCCAGGACGAAAACGCGCATCACCGGCGATCAAAAGCGCTGCCGCGGCTGACGGAACACCCAGCAGACGCGCGTTATCGCTTCCGTCGGCCGGCAGTGTGATATCGTTGTGATTATTATCAGACGAGCGTACCATCGCAAACCGGCGAGCCGAGAAGGCCCGCTACAGCCGATCTCGCAAGCACGCAAACACGCACCCACTCGTGCCCGAGGAGGTGAACAAACTCGCCGACGGTTCATGCGACGAGCTCTCAATCGGCCTTGTTTTGTTTACGAAGCGCGTCCTCCGTTTCTGTTTTCCTGCGCGGGAGCGCAACCGGTTCGTCAGAGGCCGCAGACCGGCCGCGAGAAGACTGTCGCACGCCGTGAATCCGATCGCCAAAGTCACCCCTCACACTCCCCTCACTCCCGTCTCGTGGGACAGCAGCGTCGTCGCGGGGACGATCAGCTGACGCGTGACGTAACAGCGCGAGGCGGCCGGACGGTACCGCGGCATCGTCTTGGGACTTGACGTTCGATTCGTCGAGCGGTCGACGTTCTCACCGAGGGAAGGACTTCAATCGCGCCTGGAGCCGGGATTCCGTTGACTGACCGACAGTTTTACGGTGAAGCGCTTGTCGCGGTGTCACCTTGAAGCGATCGACCGCGTCGCAGTGTTCATCTCAGACGCTCGGGATCAGCTGACTGCTCGAAATAACGGCGCGGCGGTACTTTCTCGCGAAACAGATCGCGGCACCGGGGTCAGCCGGGGAAAGCGTTCCCGTCCGGTCGCAGTTCCACGCTCCCGAGGATGCGTCATCGCCGACCTTGAGCGTGCTGGTCTTTCTGGGAAGTGATCGTCCGCGCGGCAATGTCCATCGCGCACGTTCACTCGACTCGCCAAAGCAGCGTCAGCATTAACCTTCTCCCCTCTCGTCCGAACACTTCCGGCTGATTATAGCTTCACGATCCCGCGTGGGTGGCTGTCGATGTCACGTGGAAGCGGCACGTTGGTTCCTCGTCGAAGCTCGATCAGTCGCGTCGCAAAGCGCATCGCGAGCGCTCTTCCAACTCTCCGGAGGACGATGTGCTCTGCTTTCAGCGCTCACTCCGTAACGTGCTCGAGAACGCACCAAAGATAAGCATCGCCGAAGCTTCCCCGGTCAGTTACGGCGAGGCTCGGGCAGCCGGCGACTCGATAGCCGGTTCGACAGCTCCGTCATGACAACCGTCGGGACAACAACACGCTCGAGAGGCGAGAACGAGGAGCGCGCGGCGGCACACGCGTATCGCGAACTCCTGACCGGCAATGTGCGCCGTCGCGTTCCCTCCACTTTCAGGAGGTCGATCGCGCTCGCCGCTGCCCAAGGTGATACCAGGTGGTAGAGGGGAAGGTGCAGGAGAGAGAACCTGCAGACCGCCTTCGTGGAACAAAATGGAGTTGAAAGCGACCTGAAACCACGCCCATCCCATGGGCACACCCACGGTTAGCAACCGAGACGAGGAGGGTTGACAGGCATCTCTTCCCTTCCCTTCCCTTTCCTTCAAGGGTTGCTCGCCTGGTGTGTATGTGTGTGCGCGTGTTTGTATATGTGTGTGTGTGTGTGTGTGTGTGTGAGAGAGAGAGAGAGAGAGAGAAAGGAGAGTACCGGTCGATGCTTCGTGTGCACGCAGTACGTACTTCCGAAATTTCTCGGAGTGACATTTTATCCAAAACGAGGAAAAATTCACTCGAAGCGATTGTGAAAATATCGCCACTCGCAAGAGTGAAAGTGTCACTTGGTCATGAAGTGAATTCTGACTTGATACGAGTGGAGGTTTCGATCGGTCGAATTGTACTTCTCCCTGTAACCGTGGATTATATCAGATTCATTCTTTAATTTTGAGTGAAAATATTCAGAGAGGAGAATTCACTCTGTGCGAGTAAAATACCGCTCAACTCTGAATAACTCGCTTGTTACTTCATTTCTCGGACATTTCGCTCCGAGACATTTAAGAAGTACGTTTCGAGTTGACAATTTTAATTCGAAAGTTGCTTATCAATTCTATGCGCTGATTTCGGGCTATCATGATTGGCCATTCTTTATTTTCTTCTTTTTTATGTTTGTAATGTGTTATTAGTTCAACCTATGAAGTACTTTTTCGCCCGTAACCGTACAGAATTATCGCCCGTGATATGAGTGACGCGTATCTCAATGGAATATATGAATCATTAGTACAGGAGTGACATGGCAGTTACATGTTAACGGGATAAGGAAATATTCCCAACAACCTCGCTTCACTGACTCCCGATTTGTCAGCTTCAGGATGTACTCGAAAGAGCGATAGTTCGTCGATCTTAGGATAGAGTGATTTATGATCTCGTAAATAAACGAACGTGGAATTTTTTCTTTTCCATTAGACGTTTCTACTGTCGAGATGGACGGAGAAGAATGACCAAGCCCCTCGAGAACTTAATTCTATATTACTTTTGCACATCACCAAACTTGTTTACTTTTTGCTATTTTTTCACATCGAAATTTGAAACGTCGTTTATTCCGTAATTATTTAATACCTTAATACCTAATTATCTTAGTGTGTTCTACCGCCGCATTTAACCTTTATTGTTAATTTCAATAAGTTATGTGTATTAATTAAGTATTTCATTCAACCACGGAATATGTATACAGTAAATAAATATTAGTAAATAATATAACTAAATAGTGGAATATGTTAATGGCATGCAAAACAAATTTTTTCTTTATTCATGATCCTTATAGTATTTTTCTGTTGACGTTATTGGTATAAGATCTAAATATTTAAAACGAACGAGAGAAGTTTTGAGCCAAAAGTTAGGAATTAACGTTATCTATGTTATTAATTAACTAGGATTTGAATTTGGATTCGGCACAATAACAAAGTTAAACAGAAGTGAGAAAAAATGGTGGCAGATTCAGAATGAAACCCGCATCTCAAAAGGCGTATTATTGGAGAAAAATGTCAACATTTGCTTGACCTAGGCCGATATCCCTAGTTGTAAATTATCTACGATTGATTGAGAACAATCAATTACATTACATTCATATTCATTGACCTGATATCTCTCATAAGACTGATACCTCTTGTTGTATGAAACAAATATGTCGGAGAAAACGCCGGACGGACTAATATACTCGTAATATTCGCATCGGCCGAGGCCATGGGACTGCAAGGTCGAGTGGCAAAAAAGTATCAACATTGCGACGAGACGTAAGATGACAAAAGACCCGCACTCGCTGAGAGCACCCTTGTAAACGAAAACTTTGTCTCGAGCGCTATTATATCGAGAAAACAAATATGGCTTTTGAAAGGCGCTACGTTTTATGGTATGTTCTTTGTAGTTGCACTGTTGAACTAGTGCAATAAGTTAAAGTAAGACAAATATAGGTCTTCTCACTCTAGCTTATTGCACCAGTTCAGCAGTGCAGCTATAAAGAACAGACCATTAATAAAAAATTTATGAGGTTATGATTATTCATTCAACGAGAACAGCACCTAGGAACGCCGGCCTATTAGAATAGATTCTAAATTTCGACTCGGGATACCTTCCGTGTTCCCGACGAGTCCGTCAGACGTTCGTTAAAATCGGAAACATTGCGTACCAAATTATCTGCCAAACCTGAAGATATATGACGTACCGCCGATCGCGTTCCAACGTCCCGCGCGTTCGACGTCTCTCGTTCCGCATCCTCCATGATGGTTTCTCGATCCAGCGTCTTCGCTGCTCCGCGATTCCAGACATTTACTGGAACTTACAGCTAACAGACACGATTCGATCAGAGAAACGCACAATGTCGACTAAAACGATGCCGACGAGAGAATCCGATTGAATAACCGACCGAAGTAACAACTCGATCGGCCGACGAGAATCGCGAATAACGTAGCGATACGCGCATTTCGTTATGCGCGTCGTTCGTCGGCTCGAGTGACTCGATTACGAAGCAGAGATATGCGGCGTACGAACCATCATATACCAAAACAACGAAAAGGACCGCGACGTTTTGATCGTCCAACGGGAATTGGAAGCAACTTACCGATGCTCGTGCTCCGCGATGCGTGCGCCGCTTGTTCGCTTGAAACGCGAGAATGCGGAAATGGACGCGTGCGAGTACCGGAACATTTGGCGTCCTCGAAAAGGACAGACACACTTTCCTCCAATCGCGAGGCGCCGTCGCCGACCAATCAGCGACGAGCACATTCAGTGGTCGCGAAGTCGCGATAATCGCTCGCGAAATATTCCGTATCTACGAGGTGATCAAATCGCCAAATTGTGAGAATAATTAACGAGGATGCGCGATACGAGTCGAAATTGTAGTTCGTAGCATTCGACGCTTATTGTCGCGTGTATTAATATGCGATTATCACTGCGCGCTCCGGCCGGCTCGATGCGACCGATCGATATTACTTTCGTGCAATCGATATTGCGACAAGTTCAAAGGCTAACTTCTGGGCGGATTGCAGAACGCAGAATGTAGTGGGGATAAAGGTTCTTGCGATTCGGTTCTTTTCAGCTCTTTCGAATCTGCAAATCCTACCGAAATATTTAACGTCAACAAAAAGAAATATTAAAAATCATAGCTTCGCATAACGCTGTATTTCGAAAGTCCGCAGTCGAGTGGTTCTCAGCGGATTTAGGAAGAAAGAGTATCGAGGCGAGGGGAGTGTTGTCGCTGGGCAAATAAACGAGACCGGTACGTGATTCTCTTCGATTTATTTCATACGTGGTATTCGTTAATTTTTAATACGTACATTACGTAGTGCGTTTAATAATTCGCCACAGTGGCCGGCCGTTAGAAGCGCCTCGATCGAGCGATAGAAAGTTACGAATGCAGCAGTTTTTTCGTTGTCGATGTCTCCACAGAGACGAGAGAATTTCCGGTCGGTTCTCAACCCTTTCAGGCCTGTTTTACGAACGTAATCGTAAGTATCGTTTGCGTACGCTACAAATACCTAATCCATTAATTTACAAGCGAGAATAATAATTCCGATGTCGCGATGTTCACAGTTGCCAGTTGCTCCACGATTTCGCTACGTAACGAGCGACTTGGCGGGAAAGTGAGTGCTCAAAGGTCGTAAATACGTTATTAAAGACGATAAGAGCGCAGACCTGAAAGGGATCATCAAGGGGCGCGCTAATAATACTGTTCCGCGAGTAATGCGCAGCGAGCGAGGCGCTTCGGAGTCGCGTCGAATTCGGTAACGGCGGCCGTTGCCCCGCGCATTCCGACGAACACAATTAATCTGGGTGAGTAATACAATTCCGCAGTGACACGTCGCTTTACAGATCCCTACGTGCGGCTACGTTCGACGTGAAAGAATTCCGTACGAACCGAAACGGAGGAAAGACGGCGGCGCGCCACTACGCGTGCGGTGTCTCGCAAACGCGCGAATATAATATCTACAACGGTTCGAGGACGAGCCGCGTTGCACATCCTGACGCGAGGTCCTCCCTTCCTCGTGCTTCTGAATGACTCAATGGGTGAACCACGATCGTGGGCGATTTCTACTTCTGTGGTACCTTACAGTAAAGTTTCCCCGGCGCGACGAGATAAATAAACGAAGAAACAAAACGGTCTAAATAATCGTGTGAGTAACAATAATCAATGTAAACGCGAGATAGAGAGAGAGGGAGACAGAGAGACACAGAGATGATGGTTCTTTCCTCTTGTTTTTCTCACGTAGACAATCAATTCCACTTTGCCCGAATTGCGATGTGCGTCTCAGTGGGGTACTTCGGCGGAAAGCAATTTCTTCTTTTTGGTTTCGTTCACTTCGCCACGCGAGTACACGAAGACGCGCGAAGTTACACATACATATTCGTCCGATAGAAGCAGACATGAAGCAGCGGATCGATACGCTTGGTTGCAATACGTTTCTTAAACTCTTTCTTCCTCGATACACCTCGGAACCAAAGTCGATGATTCAACGAGAGAATTTGCTTTTGATTCATTCGCAGAGAAGTCTCCCCCCCCCCCTCCCCGTTGGGTCATCGGCTGTTGTGTTCCACATTGAGAAAAAAAAATTGCGAGCCACTACTTGCGAGTTTGCACGCTAAGCGGTTACGACGACAGCCGAAGTGATGATATACGAGCGATATCCCTCCCACCCCCGACGTTGCAACTGTAACGGAAGATTCAAGAGAAATGTATAAGTATCTTTATTATATTTTTATCTATTAAGTAAGAGTATGAGATAAAGGATCTCTATTTACAGCGTGTACTATTTTTCGGCTTCTGTTACAACAGAAATTACTGAGCAAGCTCATGAACAGTGGCCCGCGATCGTGAGTATATGAAGCAACGTTGACAAGAATAAAAGAAAAAGGAAAGAAACATACGTATGCAAAACCGTTGTGCGAACGAGCACAAAGAATAACGAAGATTATCGAGAATACGTTACGAGACGAATGTGATCAAATCACCTTCCGAATTTGGTAAACGAAACTAAAACCTACAAGGAGAACATGAAAACACCCTACACTTCGTGTACATGCTGTGGCCACGAAGGTGGGCGTCGTTTCAAACGAAAGCTAGCGAGATACCGACGAACGTAAAACAAAACATCACGATGCAGCCGCGCGACAAGCCGGAGCCACGCGACGCGTGTGTTTGATTTCTGCCGTTACTTCGCGGACGAAGATATTCCGAGTAAAATTCGTCCTCGAACGTAAGTGAGAAAACACATGTATCTTTGGCACAATAAATATGAACATTACAGTTATCCGGTGTCGGCCGATACCGCATCGACCTCACCCCTCACCTGACCTCACCTCATCTCACTTTATCTTACCACACTTCCACCTCGGCCAAATTCGCCTCTCCCCCTTTCTGACCACGGCACTTGAGATCTTTTGCGTTCCTCCTCCTCCACGCTGATACGAGAAATCACATTCGGTCGAAATGAAAAGGAGACAAGCGTCGTGTAAAGATACAATGGATAGGTTACAATTAAGGATATTAGACTTAGCACCTAATGGGGTCGTCCGCATCAATCGCGCGCAAATTAACGGCTAACGTTCCAACTACCCTCGCGAGAATCTCGAGGATTCCGATAATGAAGAACGAAGTCGCGGGATCCTATCTTAATCGGCCTAGGAAAAGCAAGAAAACCGTTTCACGCCAATTCGCGTCGTTGACCGTCGAAGTTGCGAAACTAGGAGTCGAGGGTGCGTTGCAACGGCGTTCGCTGGAGCGCGTCTGTAAACTAGCTGAAACAAAAATCGATCAGCCTGAATTTCTACCGAACTGTCTTCTTCTTCGGTATCGTTAGCGTTAATCGACTTACTCTCTCCGTCCTGTTTCATCTGACAGCCAACGTGTAAAAAATTCCGATCAAACATACGTGATTTAATCGCCATTTAATTTTGATTCTTTTCTCGAAAAGTTCGATTCGTCAGGATTAATCGCATGACTGATGTTTCTCAGAGATCTTCCAGAAAGAGAATTTACTTCCTTTGAAAGGGTAAATTTGTTTAACTTAATAATCACGATAATCTATCGTCATCACTAGTCCCCAGCGCCCGTCGATGCAATTCACCCCGGAAATAAAGAAATGCTTGGTAATTCCAGTTCCGACACCTAGGCCTTAACTCGTATCGTCCTGCTAGACCGCTCACTTGACGCTCGCTGGTAACCAGTCGCGGCCCACCGCCGCCGCCGCCGCCGCCGCCGCCGCCATCGTTAGCGGTTATCATCATCGTTGTTACCGGCACCGCGGTAACGTTCACGTTCCTTAGCAATCGCCGGTAGTATTCGAAACTCTATACCTAACTAGTTTACCGTCTGCATATGCAGATATCTACCTACCCTTTGATCTGTTTTACGCGCGATACTTCCTCTTTGGGGGCTAAAGTAAAAGAGGGATAAACAGAATCGCTGGCGCGAATCACACAAATGATGAGTATATCGAGTGTCGGCCCTTCGAGCACGCGCGTTCTTTTTCTTTTTTAACATTTTCTCTTAGATTTGTAATCTTAGATATCCGTGGTATTCGTATCAACGAGATGCACAAGATTAAATGGTGTGAACCATGTAGTGTGTGGGTTAAATAATCTCACTGTGTGTGTAAATAATCTCTCTCTGTGGATGTAAATAATCTCACAATTTATCGCGAACAGCGCGAGAGATCGTGTAATTCGTCGTCGAATTTTTAAACAATTTCAAACAATTTGTAGCTGTTATCCGTGCTGTAAAGTTCGATTATTTAGCCAATGCCAATTAAACAGTTTTTATCGTTAGCATGTCTTTACCACGACTGTTTTACCAAAAAATTTAACGGGTTCGAAAGATCGTTGTTCTTCGTTCGTGTAAATTTTGATGAAGTACGAGAGGTATCGCCCCGACGAACGAGATTTACTCCCCCCTACCCTCCCCCTCGCACCTTTCTCTCTCGCAAGGGCTCCGACAGTTCGATACACGGAAGAAAAACGTCGAAGAAACGTCGAACGTTTTGGAAATGAATCCGTTTACACGTATATTATTCCCGTCTAAGGCGTGTGACGTTCGATGAAGCGACCGAAATCGAAATGATCGTGCGACGGGATACGTCTTTGGGATGCTCGTGCTTACGAGTTGCCACAGCTTAGTCTACTAACTGAGCCTTAGCGACGCATGCATGCGAGATATTGGATCACGGATACACAGGACTACACTAATCGAAAGCTCAGATATCTTTCCTTTTGTCAGCCCGAGCTTCGAGGCTGCGCGTCCATCGAAATCTTTCGAAGAGTAACGTGACGTGTATAAGAGACATCTAATCATACTGTATAAAAGTAAAGAACAAATTTCTGTGACACGGAATAATTAATTTTTTTCCAGAGAACCAAAACCATGAAACAGTCCATGCAATATAGAAAATTACGACAAAAAAAAAACATGCGCGTAAGATAATCGTGATTTTTTATTCGAGACCGGACGTTTGATCGCGTTTTATTCAACTTTTTAAAGACAACTCGAAGATAACAATGGACGCACGGCCCGGAAAGCTCCGGCAGGACCTACTCTCAATCTTCCTCATAATTCCGCGTGTCCGTCTATCTGCCTTTACAAAATCCGCGTCCCGCGTCGACGCGCTTGTTCCAGGGACTTGCTCGGAGGACCAGAAGCCGCAACTACGAGCAAAAATAAGCATCATCGTAGATCTGGTCTCGTGTTTCTCGATATAAAATTCGTTACATATCTAATTAAGTGTCATGGTTGACTGCAGTCTATCTCGTTACGTTGTTACAGTGCGCGCGAATCCGCGAGTCGCGCGCTGCTTTTGATAAGAAAGTCTCCGGCCGCTCGGCTCAACCGCGGGTTGCCTCTTGTTCTCGCGTCGCAAGAGAAGGCGAAGATAATACAAAAGTACCGCGTAATTCGACGTTGCGATTTGGCGCTTGCCGATTGTACAGAGCCCCGCAAAGCGCCGCGCGGAAGAACGCGTCGCGGCGACGGAGAGCGACTTATTGTCGGTTCGCGATGGAGAGCAATCACCCCTCGCGGTCGAGACCAGCGAGCCGCTCGCTCGTCCGTCGTATTCTGAAGGATCGTATCCCAGAGCCAGCTTTGAAATACCTCGGACAACGCGCGAAAATTCGCGAAAAGTGCACCTTTCTCTTCCTTTCCCTCTCAGAACCCGGAAGACGTCCCAGAAGACGTCTTCTCAACGTCTCAACGGCCACTCGCGATGTCAGATCGGCGCTTCGTTCGGCCGTCTGACTGACGACGGATGGCTGAGAGATCAACGCGTCTCTCAAACACCGACAGAACAACTTCGACGTTGTACTCCTCCACAATTAGAAGCGTGGCCTCGAGCGCGCGCGCGCGCGCGCGCCTTCTCCTCGCGCCTTCTTTTCTCGTTCCGTCCACCATCGCGCGCGAAATCTCCCCGCGAGGACATTCTCCCGTCGAATTCGCATCTTCTTTCTCCGCTGATCTCTCGAGGAATTTAGATAGTCTGGCGCTAAGCAGGCACATGGGTCGGCATGCTCGAAGATGTCTGCAAGGGCGAGCGTGTCTGGTGGAACCTCAGCAGCTCGGACACCGTGACGGCGACACGCACGACCCCGCGACCTCCCTCTAGGACGTCGCTGGCGCAGCACACGAGATTCTGGAACAGACCAGCAAAAATAGGCGCGGACATTTAATTCTGTTTCCTTTCTCCCTCTCCTTCTCTTCCGCGCGCAGGCCGCAGCCGCTTCCTCGCGCGTCGACAGCAGATGTGCGACACGAGGCGATTTAAGAAAAGGATATTTTATTATAAATGGCGATAGTATTACAATCGTTATGTTATCCATACAATCAACGTTACAGTGTATACCTCAAAAGAGAAAAACAAGGTCGACGATATCGCTGTCGTCCGAGCAGCGAGACAACCAAGGAGGGCGATTTCGGTTTCTCAATTGTTGTGCAATCGACGAAAATAAGGGTAAGAGAGGGGGGGGGTGGAGCGATATTATCAAATATTTAACGTCTCGCCACTGGAACTGTTCTCTCCAATAACGAAGCGTCAGGGATGGCGGACGAGTGTCGTGTGTGTGACGTATTCATAAATAAATTAAACATTAAAAGATACAAAACGAGCAACACACTGCGAGGACTCGTAAACACGGACCGATAGATTTATGCAAATTACGCGCGCAAAGCTTAACAAAGCTGCTCAGCGTGATCGTTGAATGGCGATGCTTCGTGTCGAGTCGGGTCGAGTAGTCGCGTTTTTGTCCAAATTGGGCAGTGTCCCGCTGAATCTGAGAGGAGCTTCCTGAGTATCGGTAAGATTCTTATTAAAAAGAAAACAAAGTGCCACTTCGGCCTATTTATATTATAGTCGATTGTCGTTGCTACATTGTTCATTGTGCGATGCGATATGGCTGAACTCCTGATCACAAGCTGCGGACGCAATTCCACAGTTATCGGCTCACAATCGAATAGCACTGGACAAGCATACCTCCCCGAAAATTATAATTTAATTAATTAATTTAATTAATTATATAAATTATAATTTATATAATTAAATTAATTCCTTGTACAAATTACTAATCGTAAGTTTGTCGAGTCAATAACGTGCATTTACGTGCACACTCTCCTCCTCGTTGCGAGTTTCTTCCTCCAGAAGTTCGAGGAGCCGTTTCAGCAGCCTTTGATACGCTAATAGATGTCTTCAAAGTGATCAATTTGTTAATCACCTATTAATATCTCGATCTCGAAGCAATGTTGCAGCTCATTAAGTTCTACTCGTGGAGTGTAGCGTTAGAAAACCGAACCCGACTCGACCGCGGCAGTACAATTGCGTTGTGTGTGTGTGTGCGTTTTTCCCTTGTCGGATCAGCTGACGCTGAACGACGCTTCAATAAGTCACGAGGGCCGTCTTGGGACGAGTCGATCGTGCTGGGGCTCGCCGATCCTGACCGCTTAGGCTACGCGTATCTATTTAGAAAGGAATTATTGTCTGAGCTCGGTGAGCGGGCACGATCGATCGTGCAGGACGAAGGCGGCGTTTCCGGCGGAGAGACGCCGCGGAATAAATATGTAGACATATATATATAAACGAGTGAGAAGCTCGTCAGAAGCTTACGCGAAACAACAACAAACAAAAGTAGACCAAGCACCAAGTGGATTTATCCAGCCAGCGAATAATTTAATTACGCCTACGCCTACTTACGTATAAAAAAAAAAAACACGAGAACGTAAACAAAAACAAGGAGGGGTAAGGCGGGCAGAGAGAGAGAGAGAGAGAGAGAGAGAGAGAGAGAGAGAAAGAAAGAGAAAGAAGCGAGAGAGAAAGAAAGAGAACGGAGAAACGCGGCGAAAGAAAAGTAGCTTCAACGAGAACTATATATCTGCCTCCATATAATATATCTATCTCTCTCTATATATATATATATATCTGTATATATAAGCTTTTTCGTGTGAGTGTGTACTCCTTACAAAAATTACACAACTATACAAGCTAATGCAACGGAATGATCTCGTATATATACTTGTTCACCCAATCCCTCCCCCTCCACTCACTCATCGTGTCGTGGATATGCATAGTGCGTGATGTAGCCTCCTGCGAAAGCGAAAGCTAATAATGCTGAAGATCCCAGCAGGACGATTCACGGGATCGGCAGAGAGTATTCGATCGCGGCTCGAATTATATCGAGATGCGTCGCGAAATTTTTGCATTTTGCGGAATATAAGCTTTGCCCGCGACGAGACGAGACGAGAGATAATTTCGTAACGATGACTCCACAGCAATCGCTGACTGTCCCGCAGTGATTGCTGATTATCGATGACAGATTACCGATTGGCAACCGATTCGCTCAACGATATCGATAAATGCGTCGAAACGCGCGAAGATCCAGTTGCGGACAGATCACAGCCCGATCGCGATCTCTCGGATCATCATCGTCTGTGGATCGTCATGCCTACGTACAGCCCCGGCGACACAAAGTACATCGATACGCTAAAAAAAAAAGAGAGAGGAGAGAGAGAGAAAGAGAGAGAGAAATTCGAATCCAGTCTTAAGTAATACACGAACTCGGATGCACCGACACCTCGTCCACGAAAGAATTCTAGCGAGATTATAATACTGACATAACGTGGCCGTCGCGACCGTAACGCGCTTGCGTCCGCGGCGTTAAGCACTCGTCGTGATGATCGATGATGATTAAGCGTAATGAGATACTCGAGACGATGACTCACCCGTCGTATGTTCGTTACTCTATACGACGGGCGCGATAGATCCTCTCATTAGACCGAAGCGCGGAAGCTACTAGCGGACGTCTAATCACGTTTGACATCCGGAACGCCCGGTGTAATTTGCCCACCGACGACGATGCGGTTTCGCTCGCAATCGAACCTTGCGATTCAGAGGAATCCTCTTTCTCGTCGTTCGCGCGAAGAAACGGACGCTTCCCTCCTGTTCTACGCGAGTTCTTTGCGGTATCGACTTCGGTACTTGGCGGTCATCACCTTCACGCGCTGTTGTAAATGAAAAAAAGAAAAAAAAAAAGAATCTCCCCATTTTGTACAACCAAGATGAGTAAAAAGAGTCATAAACTTCCCGTGTCGAAGTTCAAGGTACAAAAGTAACGAGTGCTAGAAATCGAGGCGTGAGCTCGCGAGGGACGACTAAGCTGACGGACCAAGCGGGATTAAGTAAACGAACGTGACGGCCGCGAACGAGCGATTCCGCCCGCCGTGAATCGCTGCGAGCGAAACACGCCGGGGAGCCGTTACTATCGCGGCGGAACGTTGTGGCGAGAATGCGCGAGGCAGAAATGAAAGAGAAGAAGAACAAAGGAAAATGGGAAAGAAACAACTCTGTGACTAGAAAACGGCTTACACAACTAACGATACTATTACCGTAGACTAGAAAGTGCAAGACACTCGACTGCGAAACGAAAACGCGGACAACGGCCACGGACGTGAAGCGCGCGCGCGCGCGCTTCTCACAGCGGCACAAAGGTCGTAGCAAGACCGAGGCCGAGGTGGAGTGCGCGAAGAATCATGGAAGAGATGCGGGACTCGCCTAGCTTTCGCGACCCCTTAAAAAGATACACTGGCATACACTGGCATATGTATTGATACGATGTAGCGACGCGTGTCGACTTGACCGACGTTACGCTCTCGTATAAATATATATACATATATATATATATGTTTTTACGATGGCGAAGTGCGGTCGATGGGCGTCACGGCCCTCGTTTCAAGATACGTCCGCTGCGCCCCGCTTCGTACGAAATAGCCGTACGAGAAAAGGACCCTACGTATCTCTCTACGTCGCTCGCTCTCTAAAAAATTCCGCTTGTGCGCTCTCGAGTCGGCTCGAGTGATTCGTCGTGACGAACGGGTTGTTACACACTTGACACTAGGAAAGCTTCTCCCGACCACGCGGTGCCTGTCGGAGAAACGGCCAGGGACAACGAGGTTCCGACGTGCTCGAGAAGACGCTGGGACTTTTGGCACTCTGTGTCTGTGTCGGGTAAGTACTGGCGGTTGACGTCGGAGACCGGAGAGTCTCTCCCTTTCTCTGGGGACTGAATGGCTATGTGCGATCTAACAAAGGATTCCGTTCCTGCCGATTCTGCCTCATTGGAAACGCCCGTGGCCCTTTCTCCGACAGAGATCTCGTCCCACTTGCAAATCTACGGAGCGTTCTCTTAAACGTTACGATATAAGTTACATGATTGTATATATTATAGACGATATACATGCCCTCTCTACTTGTTCTCTTGTCGTGTCTTTATGAAAATAAATTGGCAGGTAGCAGGCACCGTGTCTCTACCGTCGTGTAGCGTAGTTTGCGGTTACTTTGATCTCGAGGGTCCGCGCCTCGGTACCACAACATTTCAATAGAGCTGCCTCTGTTACTCGACAGAGTGAGAGAAGCAGTAAGTGTACCAGGGATCGAAACCTGGATGATGATTTTAGAGGATAGTTAAAAGATTTCAGATCAGGTAATGTTTTACAGGTTCACGCATGCACGCACGCACATACAAACATTCGTACACAGACAGGCTCTTGTCCATTCGTTACGGTAAATTGGCGAGAGATTCAAGGTAAAGGTGATCCTACGCTCGGAGATGAAGCAAATATCGGGATCGAGCGAAATGAATGTCGAGATTAAAGTAACTTCAATCCAAGGTACGATATCCTAGACTACGATCGAATTGCTTGGCCGGTGAATCAATCGGAGCAATGCTCTGTTACTTTGTTTCCTTCCTCCCCCTCCCCGAAATGAAAACACTATTCTGCGCGCCGGATGAATTGACAAAAGAAAACGGACAGATCGGTCGAAACTTACGAAATTACGAGCGAGGGAAGTGACGTAAACTTATGGACGAACGAATACAATTATAATCACGATATAAACACTTCCACAACGATCAAAAACACCCCCGTTAAGTCGTCCTAATTACCAAAATAGAAGATCCTCCAACTAAAAGAGATTACCTAGCACCTTTGTTTCACTTTTTTTTTTTTGTTGAATCCTGTAGTACTCGCAGGCTACCTATCACAGACCCACCAATCCTGAAAGAGCCGTAGGCGGTTCATTTGGTCGAATCCTAAAAAAATACTACCGTCGAAGGCATCGAACAGCTTATTTCTTCCGTTCGCTCTTTCTTCTCTTCCTGAGGGACTACTACCGCGAACCCAAGGCGTATGTTAGAGACGCAGAGAATAATGTCGCAATACCGGCTAAGACTTCCGGTCTGGAATTCTGAGGCTTTTCATCGTATATAGAAGGCAATGGATTACTTTCCGAGAGTTCGGACAGCTAAGTGGGATTATTATACGACTTATATACGATTCTTGAACGAGTATTGCACACTAGCTCTTGATTTCGACATCACCATTCTATCCTTTTCTTTCTTTTTTTTTTCTTTTTTCTTCTTATCAAAATATCATCTCGCCGGCTTCGTTTCAAGCCGACGATAACCACCTTTTGTCCCAGCACAAATGGCGAGCAAAATTAATCAGTTCGTTCGGTAAAGTACGTTCCACGGAGAGACAACCAAATGCGTGATATGCGAGAGCGCCTTCGGCTTTGATTGCGCTCTTTGATTTTTTTCTCTTCTTTTAACGTTAAGCTCGCCGGCAAGCGAGGAGGAGAAACCAACGAGAACGAGAAATAAAAGTTTCTCGCTCGAGAAGATCGCGCTTTCGAGCGGCCGGCATTGTTTCTTGGACATTACTGTCTCGTTGATATTAGCTGCGTGCAAACTGGTACACTCGCGTCGTCGATGAAAAGAAAGGAGGCCTTTCCTTTCCGAAGATAAGAAAACATAAACTTATGTAACATCTAGCGATTTTCTACGTATATAGACGACTGAACGTTTTGTCAAGCTGCCTGTCGACACTTAAGAACTATCCTCGAAAATTCTCCGCCAGCCGCGAGATCTCCCGCCCGTGTTACTCCATCGGGCGTGGGAACCCGCGGGACGGAGGTCGAAAAAAGCGAACAACCCTGTTAAAACTGCCATCGTGAGATAAATCGATTCTCAAAAGAAGGATAGACAGAGAGAGAGAGAGAGAGAGAGAGATATAAGTACTCCCCATCCCGAAGTCGAGGACTATGCGGCGATCTGTATGCGCACGGTCGAAGATATGTTCTGGAACTTTTTAAAGCGCCCAGACGCGCGGCGACGGGGCCGTCTGTTTGATTTGTACGCTCCAAAAGACACTTTAAAAAATCGCAGAATACTTCGACGTCGACGATGTCCTCGGCCGTACAGACGTACGGAAGAAAAGAACGTCTGGCCCGATTATTAAACGTTAAAGTGTGCGTTTGGTTTTCTTCCGTTTCAAGCGGATCCCCGCTTCATAAACTCGCCACTCGGGAATCCTCGACGTCGAAGGCGCATTCAATTCCATCACGCGACACTTTGCTCGAACTATCGACGAACGAAAGTACAAGCAGAATTGACGGAAATTAACCGTGAGAGTACCGCCTTACCAAACCGCGTGAATAAACAAACGTCAAAAGTGTCGTCGCGTGTTCTTGCGAGAACTCGTGACGGCGATTCTCAGAGTCGTACTGGGAAAGAATTCCCGATGTTCTTCCGGCGAAGGATCTCTCGGCAGACTCTAAGAATCGTCGCCGATGTGTCTCGAGAGACGTGGTTTCCGTCTCGGCGCTTTCTTTCCTCCCCTCGTGTGTTAGCTCCCACCGTTCCAGCAATCGCGTTTCTCGCGCGCCTTGCCGCTCTCTTCCCATGATCCTCGTGATCGTTTCTAATCGGGAATCGGGAAGAGATAGAGCAGTACCAGGGTGGATAGGAATGTCGCAAAAAGCATCGCGGACAGAACGCGGTCCTGAATCGTACGGGGTGAACCTGCGGCCGGCTCTTCGGTACCACTCTCCCCCTCATCGCGAGCAAGGAGAAGAGCGGTGACGAGACGCGCCAGATCCTCGAGCCCATACGTGTCCATGTAACCCACATCCATGATTGAGTCCGCGTCCAATAACACCTCCTGCAACACCAACAACGATACTACTCAGTCCCAGTTTCTACGTTTTACCGCACTGCGAGATATCATTTTACGTAAACGCATATTTCTCTCTTTGAAGAAGGCCCTACTTTTTTTCTTATCGCATCAATGAGAACAAAGCGTTCCTCGGGGGATAGTCACCCTGCCACACCCCATCACCGTGTCGCGCGAGCAATCCCGTTCGTCACCGCGAGAAAACTTTTGACGGAGCTCTTATTACTGCTCCGTCACGTTTCTGATCTTTAGAAATTCCTCGAGATCGATTGTGCGACCGATTTGTCCCTCCAATTACATCAAGAATTCTGTCGAGGAAGCACTCGAAGGATGCCAAAGGGAGAAGTAGTTAAGGACATGACGATAATGTTACATTTTGTCTCGTACGACTGGTGAGAACTAGTCGGATCGTTTGTACAGTTCAAAGGAGTTGGTTAGTCCGTGGATGTTAATCGATGAGACAACCGGATAACGGCGGATGAAGGGCGAGAGGCAAAAGGTACAGGCTGTTCCCCGAAGAAGCGACACAAAAGCGAGACTGGATTCTAGGCGCATGCAACTAAAGCTTCTTCACATATCCCCGCTAACTTTTTTTCCGTTCTCCTTCCCCTCGTCTGGTACTCGCGATCGTATTCGCCCGTCTTCACATCTCGTATGCTCTCAACAACGATTTATACGCTCGATCGAGAGATCGAGGGACTACAAATCGGGGACTGACTAGTAGTTGCTGGAAGTGTCATCGAGAAATGGCGGCCAAGTCGCCGAAGCCGTTAGTCACGACGTACACAGATGTTCGGTTACGAATAATGTGCGACCATTTTTTCTCTCTGTCCGAGATTGTTCACCAAGCAGGTTCGGTAAGTCTGCTCTTAACAAGAGGACACTCCACGGAAGCGTTCTCAATTCGTGCTTCGCGAAGAGCGAGTTTCCGCACAGTATCACACTCGGCTCTCGACGAAACACACGCCGCAGACGCAGCGTGACTCAGATTTTTACGCATTGTACTGCCATAGCATCGTGATATATTCTCGTCACATCGCCATTCGTTCAAGAAGAAAATCACGTTGAATCGGTTCTTTTTGACTTAGGAAGCATCAAATGTATTTTCAACGTTGCACGGACGACAGAATGTTTCATGCATATTGTGTGTGTGTGTGTGTGTGTGTGTGTGTGTGTGTGTGTGTATGTGTGTATGTATGCGCGCGCGCATGTTTATACGTATAATATGTACCTTATGAGCGAAAGAGAAGCGCAAACCTCGAAACTAATTAACGAGTTTGACGACGTCTTACCTCATCGACGCCGATCTTCCGGCATGCTTCGAGAAAGTTGTCGACGTTACGTCTGCATCGCGCCATAGTTAGCTTAGGCTGCAAAAGAACACACGTCGACACGTCAGTACAACGCTTCTCGCTGGGACGCACTACGAAAATGGACAAACGAAAAAGCACTCACTACAGCGGGAGAAGGAACATGTATACTGGCGACCGACCGCGGTCTCACGTGGTTGGCCAAGTGGCAGAGCACCACGCCGTCCGTTAACGCCGGTGCGAGGTCCTCCGGCAGTGCCATCTTCAATCTTGTCTCTATGTGCTGAAAGAGACGAGCGCGATCAACTCCCGACTTTCCTTCATTTCTTGCACGATTCACACGGCTCGTCGTTCCCATCGATACTTACGTTTCTCAGCTGATCGATGAGATCAGCCTCTTCTTTGGCACGCTCGAATTCTCTCCTCATGGTGAAGGAATACTTCTCGGGCAGGTTGCTGTTCCACGTGACGGATCGCGGCGACTTTGGGCTGCCGCCGTTTCTGCTCGGGCTCTTGTTGCCTGACAAACGTATACATACTATGAATATATTGTGTAATCGAGTCTTCCTGTTCCGCGTGGGACGTATAAGAGAAACTCTTCTCATGGAGTGGAGAGATTCTCTTATACATCGGCAGTAAGTGCGGCGTTGCGCCCAAAAGTGAATCCGTGTGATCAGTCGATATCAAAAAGAATATTGCCTCGAGATATAAATTCAATCCCAATTTCATTAGCAAAAACGAACTCGAAGAAAAAAAAAAGCGGATCTTCTTAAGGAGACCACGATGGGGAATCTCATTTCTTTGTAGCACGTAATAAAAATAACCACCTTTTTATTAACTAAGGAATCGACAAAAAATGACACTCCAGAAACTTGTACGCCTCGACAGCAATATTCCTCCGAGACGCGACCTAATTGCGCATCTTTACTCGTCCCGGATGAGCGTTACCTTCCACGTAGCCAACAGCGGTCTTCACCAGCCTGGGCGCGTGCGCCGGGCTCGCGTTCGTCGACAGGATGCTGCTGGAGGTTTTGATGGGCGAGCTGGGCTTCTTGTACGGTTGATCGAGATACTTTCCGTTTTTGTTGTTGTACTCGCTGTTACTGCCGTTGATGATCGGTGTATTCTGATAGTTGATCCGCGACGGGGTGACCTTCTGCACCGGCCTCTTCATCAGCGCGTTCTCCTCGTTGAAGATCTGCTTGCCGGTGAGAGCGATGCCCTCCTTGTTGCTGCCCGAATCGGTCTCGTTGTTCTGCGACTCGTTGCCCGGGGGTGTCACCACCTGCTCGCGAGGTCTGTACACGCTCGGGCCTTCGTTGGCCCGCTGCTGCTTCAGAGCCTCTTTGTACTCCCTGAGAATCCAGTCGATAAAACTTGTAATTTCCGAGCGTGCGACGTCACTTTGTACACGACAACATGACGTGATCAATTTTCAAGACTATATCTCGTGGTCTTTGCGAGTATGAATGATGAGTAAAGCAATTATGACATGTATCTGCAAATGTGGCATATGCAAAAAATATCGAAAGCGGTGAAGGATACAAAATGATTGATGTTGAAAGCTCTCTTCCGTCGTGACATGTAGACTCGCGAATCAATACTCGGATCCTCCAACTTTTAAACTTTCTCAGAAAGTTGAGAGTCGAGAAGTCTGAACAATTCTTTCCCGAAAGACGACTACATCCCGCTGTTAATGTTAGTCTCTCAAGAAAACGACGACTACTCACAACGCCACTCTTGCGTCTCTACGTGTAAACACAATGTACGTTTTCTTAAACTTGATACTGCAATCGCCTCGAGAAGCCAATCGCTTGGGCTCTGGAGACGATTAACACAGCACTATTCAGCAGCATCGCTGGGGCGACAGCGATCCCCGGCGCGTAACGTCGCCGTGACGCTGCCGAAGCGCGTTCGCCGGAGGATTCAGGTGCGGCTTGGATGAACAAACAACGTGGGTAACGCAAACGCGGCGAGACGTGAGACAAACTCAGGGGAGACGAGAACTCTCGTCGGTCACACGGCGCAAAGCGGAGTTACCTGTACGTCTGTATGTGATTCAACGGCCTCTTATCGTCTCCATTCACCAGCGTGACGAGATTCGCCGCGGGAGTCTGTAGTGGGTGTACCGCTTGCGCGGACGATATCTGCTGCGACTGATTCAGATGTGTGGACTCCAGATGGCTGTAAAAAAAGGATTGCCAGCCACGATAATGCACATGCACGCATGCAAATGTACGTATAGGTGTTACGTATGTATGTGTGTATGTATATTTTCCGCACCACAGTGTGAGTGATAATCCGTATCACAATATCAATGGAAAAACATCGAGGGGACGCGTTCGTTCATTCGTAAGTTCGTACGTTTATTTCGAGGGAAAGCGCACAACCCGACGGGTGATTGACCCACCCGAGCTCGTCGTAGACGAGCGGCTTCGTCACTCACCCCGGCGGTGTAATCGATGTGTGATGAAGGCCAGAGATCATCGGTCTTCTTATGTCCGCTCCGTTCTCCGAGGCGCTCCTCTCCAGTCTCCTCTTTTCCAGCTGATCGTGCAGTATCATCGCCTGCAAAAGTGAGCGTTTCGCGTGAACTCGTGAACTTTGGTCTTTAGGATTTTCGCCGGATACTTGACTGTCGTAAAAAAAACATTTCACTTTAATCTAGTTCTAAAATCTGGCTTAATTTCAAGCACTAAACTTCGACTTAAAATTAAATTATATTTGTAAAAGCTGATCGTTTCCTTTGAAAATGTAAGTTACACCCGAGATAACGATGTATATACTCGACACGTTCCTAAATCGCAAGAATGTTTTGTTATTTCTCTGAAATTTAATTTGCATGGAAAAGATATTCTTGTCGATGACGAATCGACCTGTGCAGCTCTGCGAGTAACAAGATGGTAAAATCGCGGCGAGACTTCACGGGTTCACGCTGATATGCGCAGCTGTCGGCGCGTCGGTGCCGATGCGTCGCGTATTCATAATTTGGAAACATCGTTAACATGATGTTTCATTGGGTCAAGGCCTTAACGAGATTTGAGCGACAGCCAACGACGACTCGCCGTGGCTCGCGACTTGAAATCTATTCGACAGCTAAATATAGCGACCGTGTCATACCGTGGTGTTTAGACTCCGCGGTACGTTTCAAAGCTTGATTTGTTTGCTCCAGATCGAGCTCTAAAAACCACGAATTCGCGCGAAAAACGCTTGACAATAGTTCACGGAATTTATCTCCCCGCAATTGTTAATCCGAATCCACGTCTATCCTACGTTTTGTCTCTCTGTGCACAGCGGAGCTCGTCAAACCTTCTCTCCAAACTACTCTCACGAAAATTCAATCGCGCAAACGTGCCGGGGCTTAAAGGCTTAGTAATCGACTTTTTCATTCCCGCGCGACCTGCCGAGCGTCTACCTCTTTGTTAAGCCTACGGCATTAGCTGCTACGGCAGGGCTTTTAAATCTGACAAAAACGCGGTGAATCTCTGTTCACATGGAAAACGTGACCAACGGGGCAAATTACACACGCCGATGAGAGAGGGAATTAAAACGAAAACGAACGCCTCGTTATTCCCGAAGAGCTCGATCTCTACCGTCTCATCTTTCATTCTCTCTTCCTCCTGTGTGCCACGAAACGATCGGAATGTCGATTGCCGGCGAAGATTTTCCTCAGCGAAGTGTTACGTATCGGCCTACCTTGCCCAACTCATCCTCCAGGGACGTGTGCTCCCCGGGTGAAATCGTGCTGGGTGTCGACGTGCCGCTGCAGGATCCGTTCACGCCTACCTCGTGCGGCAGCGTTATCGAGAGCGGTGAACATTCCTGCCGCCACAAGCCGCGAACCTCGCCGTCGTGCACCTGCGCGCAAACGATGGCCAACAGGAGGCATATATAGAACCGCGACTGGCGACTGCGTCTCGCATATATATTCGCAATCATTTTATTCGTGCACTTTTTTCTCGTACAGTCATCATCATTGATTATTATTGCTATTATTATTATTATTAGAAGATCAAATGCGAGAGAGAACGCTCGTGCTTCGTTACTCCGAGACAATGGGCGTTTTTCTTCGTACAGAAATTTGCAGAGAATTCGTACATAAAAAACATATGTACACACTCGACGACTCTCAAGGAGATTCCGAATACCAACCATACGAGCGAAAACGAAGCGACGAAGAAGCTCCGTGGCAATATATGTACAGCGTATGTCCCGAGGAAGGACGCTCAGCTAAAGCATTTTCTACGTTTCCGTGCAAATACTCTACCGTCTCCCATATTCCTTCATGTATATATTATCCCTTATAAATACACCGAGATAATAAATATTTCAGCCATATATATATATATATATATATGTGTGCGTAAGCACAAACAACAAACGCTAACAATCTCTTCCTTCATTTCCAGCGCTTCCTCCGGCACTTTCCATTTTCCTCTCCGCCACCTTCTCTTTTCCCACGGTAGGTCCGATATGTAAAACTCTTTCGAAGCTCCCTCCGGAAATGAAAGAAGAAGTAGAGGCGTTCGCGCGCTACGACTCATTCGCACGGGCTATATCTACACTTTGGACTCGGATCAGAGGCTCGCGGATGGCTCGCCGAGCAGCCTAGCGAGGAGGTAGCTGTAGAGCAAGTGCAAGAGATGGAGCGATAGCGGTAAGGCCAGGAGAGCGACGACGGCGAAACTAACCGCGCTATGGATTTCTTGGGACCAACGCTTGTCGACGCCGTCGCTGGTGCTGTAGCCGCTGTCGACGTTGTGACGTCGGTGGGGCCTCGTGTCCAGCGTCGCGTGACCCCTCGTATCCAGAGGCGTCCGCCTGGCCCGACCGCCTCTGGCCCTCTCGTGCTTCGCAGCCTGCCTCTCCAAGTACTTGAAGATGTGCGTTCGCCCGCGAATGCATAGCTGAAATCACCGGCAGAGAGGGGGAGCTTAGGGCACGACCTTCGCTAATGCGTCGGAGTGATCGATAGTGTGGTCTCCCCGCTTCGAGACCGATTCTCCTCCTCGACGACGAAACGAAACGAACCCGCCGAGCGGTGACCCCGAGGCTGCGTCACCGGCAACTTTGAAGCGTTCGACGACAGGTAGGACAAGTCCGCGACTCTCTTCATTTATATGCGTTCACGCCCGCGTCCTTGTGCAAGTCATGCGAGCCGACACCGTATAATCAGAATTTTATTTGTTAATAATAAAAAATCTCGCGGAAATTAACGCGGAATACCGGTCCAAAGTGTTCGCGAGAGTATAACTGAGAAGCAAAGAAACGCGAATATCATGTTCCTTTGTTCTCCTGTAGTCAGCGATACGCAGACATTGTTTCTATATTCGACGTTTCCATATATCCATCGGCGCGGCGACGCAGCGGCGTCGAACGTCTTCGAGCGGCGAGTTATCGATTCGAGGGTTCGATAAAGTATAAAGTTACGAAGCGAAAGGCACCGGACTCTCGCGCAATCAATTCCGTAGGACGTAGGAGGACTGCGCATAAAGGAAACGAGACGGCCATCGACGGATGGAGTAATATCACGTACTAACACGGCGCTTATTAAAATCCGCCGGACCGGCAAAGCGTAGGAGAGCGTGTGTTAATGGCGGAAAAGGCGGATGTGCGAACTTATCAGTTGAAAGGGGCGAATCGATGCTGCTAAGGATATGCTCACCGAGGCAGGCGGCGAGGTCAGCGGATTGTCGGACAGTCTGAAATCCACCAGGCTCTTCATCTTCCTCATCTCATTTGGAAGCACAGATATTCGATTGCCGCTAATATCCAGCTTCACGAGCCTCAGGTACGTCAGTTCTGTGCAAAAATGCGACAACACTTTTCTCAACAATCCGACCCGAGAGCATCTCTCTCTCTCTCGCTTCTGACGCGCCTCCACGCGCTTGCCTCTCCTTCGTGGACATTGATATTCGAAATGTTCCCTCGCGAATCTCACGCTCTTTACCGACTTGCTCGTATTATGCGAAATATGCACGCGGCCGACTTTCTTGGAACTTACTCGCTTGAAGTTACTCTTAAGTAGTGAACAGGTTTTTCGCGAGAAAGAAGGAGACCCAAAGCGACATCTCCCCGTGCAGATCAATCGCGAACCGACACGCGGTCAGAGAGAGAGAGAGAGAGAGAGAGAGAGAGAGAGAGAGAGAGAGAGAGAGAGAGAGAGAGAGAGAGAGAGAGAGAGAGAAAGAGAGAGAAAGAGAGAGAGAGAGAAACCCCGTGAGATCGTGATATTTATCTACACGTCTGTCGGTCGCATTAAGAAGACGGCTCTACCTATAGGCAGGTGCACCAGCAAGTTGCTCCTCAGGTCTAGAGACCGGAGCTGCGCAAGGTCGCCCATTCGTGGTGGAAGGTTCGTGATTTCGTTGCAACCTGCGTCCAGTTCTGCCAATGCTGTCATCCTGCCCAGCTCGTCCGGCAGAGATGCTAATCTGTTGTGCGCGACTAGCAAGGTCTGAAGGGGTAGCCTGCATATCTCCCGAGGTAGCGACGTCAATTGGTTTCGACTGCGGATCACAAGATATTATCGTCTTTAAACGCACCGCGTTTCCCGAGGATCCATTCATCCCGTTTAAATGAGTAGCTTAAAACCAGAGTGCTCGATGAATTAATAACGCATCGAGCGACAGCAAATGATGCAAGTGTCGCGATTGTTACAACATGAACTAAATTTTCGAAACACACTTTGCGCCCAACATCAAACTTAATCTTTCTCTGAAACAAACACGAGCTTGTCCAAGCGCGGACTTTCGATCGCTTTTCGATTACTGTTCATTTTTCTTTCAAGATACTGTTCTGTTTTATTTAGAGGTTTAGATTTTCAATTGCGGACTGTGTAGAGCAGCGTGCGTCCTTCTAACATGACGTGCAGTGTTATCGCTGCTATTATATGCGCCACAATGTACAGGACGTGGATATGCATGATTGTGATATTATATCACCTATGCTAACGTAGATACGCATGTACTAACCTAAGATCGAGGTAGTTGAGAGATTGGAGCATTACGACGGTTTCCGGGATTATTCTTATGGCATTATGATAGAGGTGCAGCTTCTCGAGGAACGGAAACTCGGTGACTTCCTCCGGTAACTCACTGAAGCGATTCTTCGAAAGGTCTGCAACAGAAAATAGAGATGCTCACTTTTACGACGTGCTAAAGGCCAAAGTTGCACGACGACGACGGTGATTCCCGTTTATTAAGAAGGAGAGGAGCAAAGAATAGCTCCGGGTGATGTCGCGTTCCGCTGGAAACTAGAAGGTCGTCACAAACGCGCACACACTTGTCAGGCACAAGGAAGGGAGGCAAAGAAAGAGGCCGAAACAGGCCATGCGTTGCTAAAAGGTAATTCGCAATTAAGACCCGCCGTCGTCGCTCGACATCAAAGTTCTGCATTCTCGTTAGAACAGTCGGCCGCGCTCAAAAGTGTCGTAGAAAAAAGTGCGGCCCTCTCCGCTGCGATTGGGGCCGATAAAACTCGTTAAAGGAGCGGCGCTATCGAACTGTCTTAATAAGGTACCGATATGTCTCCCATGGCAACAGCTGTGCTGCCCCGGTTAGGGTGGTCTTAGGGTGCCGCTGGGGGGTTGTTATGAATGGGGCGCGACTGCCACGTGCGCGCACAGACTTAGAACGCAGGAAAAGGACAAGGGTAGTTCAGCTGCTCCCGGCTTCTAAGCATCTTCCTGATCAATAACAGTCGGCATCGCGAGCGAGGAGAGAGAGAGAGAGAGAGAGAGAGAGAGAGAGAGAGAAAGAGAGGGAGAAAGAAAGAGAAAGAGAGGGAGAAAGAAAGAGAAAGAGAGTCTCGCGAGCACGCCCGGGAAAAAAATAGCACAGGGTCCGCCGGTCGACGATTACGGAACAGTTGTTGCACTCTCCTTGCGAATAAAACGTCGGCAAATTTGTCAAATCGAGCGTAAAGTTGAGTGTGATGCAATTACGTGCATCGGCGATGATGTCGCCACGTTCTGCTTGAGTTTTGCGGATTTTGCAACTACGAGATGTATTTTTCCTCGGCAAACACTCGATGCACGCATTAAGATTTCGATAATAGCTTATGAGATGCAATCTCCTCTTCTTACATTAATTTTCTTCTGGATACGTTCCCTACTACCTGCGATGAAAAGTACAGCCACTGAGACGTTCCACATGTGTACATTTAAAATTTAAATAGTTCCGGGGTGTAAGACGATAAAGAGTTCTCAAAGTTTCGATAAGCCCGCCTCGATCTTATTAAATGCGGGACACGGAGATGAAGCGATCGTGACGATACAACAGATGTCTTGTGAAAGATGTCTAATATAATCCCTCTTATTCCTCCCACGCATCGTCGAATCACCGAGAGGGACGGCGTGGAAGCAGATTAATTCACGGAAATTTTCCAAACGAACCCCAATCCGTGCTGGGGAGAAAATTAGATTCCGACGAATCCATGAATGCTGATCGACGGAAATTGACAAGCGTTGCGTCAACAGGATACGCGATTTCCTCGAGAGCAATCGAGAATAAGGTCCACTCGACCGAGGTTCGTTATTTCGCGTTCTCTTCAGGACTGTTCGACGATATTAAGCCAATTAAATGGCTGACAAAGTCGGTTTGAGAGAAAAGGAAAGAAAAATTCATCTTCTTCTTCTTCTTCTTCTTCTTCTATCTCGGTGCATTATGTAAGTGGTTTTGTATAAGTTTAATACAGCGATATTTGATCTCGAGTTCTAGTTGTTCTACACGAGATAGTTGAATCGGAGCAACACAAGTCGCGCCTGTAGTCCATCGTGGCGTAAGGCACAATTCGTCTTCATTTGTCGGAGATCGTGGCAATTTGCGCGGCTATAACCCGAGGGCGTGCCTTGACGAGCGTAACTTCGTTAATCGATCTCGTTTCCTACATTCTTCGTGAACCAAATGCATTGAAACAGGAACGAGCCGACGAGGGTGGAAGTCTAGGTGCGGATAGGGTGGGTATCTCCGCAGCGTCGAGATACTTCGCCACCGATAAACGCAGGTCAATATTTTAACCTTCGGTCATACCATCAGAGTCCATGTGCACTCGGCTTGAGTCTTGCTGCTTCTTTTATGTGCGCGCAATTCTAATTACTTGCAAAATCAAATATCGTGAGACTTTACTCTCTCTCTCTCTCTCTCTCTCTCGGCGATCCTTGGAGATCCTCCAGGGATCAAGGGGAAAATTTGGCTTTCTTAAATAATATAAAAATCGTCTATAATTTAATTTAATTGACACCACGATGAATCGAATTAAGGGTTAATGAAGAGCCTCGGCACGTTCGAAAGGCTGAGTAGAGAAACCCCGATCGTTTCGACTCGTTATTATCAGACATCAGCAATCATGATAAACGGCGATCATGTAAAAGTAAACGACATGCTTTCACTGACGAAGAAGCAGGTTTCCGAGAAACTCCAAGTATCGATATCCTGTTTCGATGCACGCAAGTTCAGCATCGTGGAATCGTCGGTCGATCGAGTGGTCGCGGCGCCAGGACGTTGATTCGTCCGACCAAGACGGGGTTGGAACCCCTCAGCGACCCCTCGACGGTGACTCCCACGCGATATTGCACTCGGCGGGCGCTGAGAGTTCCTCTTTGTGCAAAGTGACAAAATTCTGTGGCGGAGTGTCGCGTATGCAGACTGGCATATTGCGGTGCTCCATTATGATAGTCGTGATACGTCGCGATATATCGCGCGTTATAATTCACGGGTTCAAAGACCTGCACCCCCGATAGGGAACGGCTCCCTCTCCCTCTCCCCCGTTTGATCGACCCCTTGGCGAGAGAGAAGAAAATTGCAACGGTGAAAGCACGAGAGCCAAGTGAAGTCAAGTCGAATCAAAGCGTCGCACCGTGACTCTCGTCTTTGAATGGGCGGCTCATTGGAGCGCAGGAGATCGACGGAAAAGTGCGCGTTTCCCCGTCGTCGACGAGCACCACTCGTGCACCACGATGCGGACCGAAGCGATCCATTTCACCCATCTTCGATGTGTTTCCATCGTATTTTATTTTACCGTAATCTTAGAGCAGCAAACGTCCGCCTAGCTAATCGCACGTAAGCCGCGCGTTCTACGAAAAATAAAAAAAAAAAAAAACAATTGCACACGCGATCTTTCCCGTTAGTTTATCAAAAATGTACAAAGAATCACATAACGATTCGTGCTCTCCACTTCTCAATCGTCCCCTCTTCGAGATCTTCGGAGGATTCATCGAACTGTTCGTCGGACATCCGCGTTGCCGCTTGATAATATGGAGATAACGTGCGGCATGCGGCGGCATGAGCGATGATTTAACGGGCGCATAATCGAAATACAGTTGTACTTCGTAATACAAAGCCGACCGACCTGATCAACAAGGGGGCGGCGCAGTCGTCGCTCTCTCGAATCGCCGCGCCCCGCCTTTAGCTCCTCGCCACGATTTTCGACACGTCGAGAGATCTTATCTGCCCGCCGTCGTATATCGATCGGCCAGACGAGCTTGCGAGCTATTCACGCCGGCTCCGAATCCACACGCGAGCGGCAGCGGCCGATAAAAATCGGCGGAAGCGTGCGTACGACGATTGCAAATACATCTGCGCTTCCGCTTCTCTAACGGGCTTGGAGCCCGCGGCCGCACGGAGAGATCAGCGGTAAGACCGGCCGTGCCCTTCGTGCCGTTGCCTCTGCCTCTGTGCACGACGTTTCAGACGCAGACGAGGTCGACGCACCGGCAACATTTCAAGGACCAAGGTCGAGGTCCTGCCGCCGAGGATCGATAC